CTTTTCTGGCTTGTCTACAGTCTGTATTAAACCATGGTTTCCGTACATGTGGGGTTGTAGAGGATTTCGGTATACACTCGTCAGCTATTTCATTTAAAACGTCAGCAAAAATCTGAATGGGATCAGTTATATCACTGAAACATTCAGGTCGCAATTTAGATTTACATAAAGTTTGATATAAAGACCAGTTCGCCTTCGAAAAGTTCCATCTTGTATACGATGGAGAATCAGATGGAGTTATTTCTGAAAGTGTAGTTGGGAAGTGGTCACTTCCACAAAGGTCACTGTGGACAGACCAATCAAATTGATTGAATATGTTAGAATCTGCAAGAGACAAATCCAGAGAAGAGTAAGTGCCAGTTGCAGGATGTAGATAAGTATTTGAATCATCATTATATATGCACAAGTCATTATTAGAAATGAAATCTTCTAGTATTTTACCTTTAGTATTAGTGTTGTTACTACCCCAGAGGGGATTGTGACCGTTAAGGTCACCCATAATAACACAGGGCTTCGGAAGTTGATCATAGAGTGACTGAAGTTCAGTCTGCTGAAGTGCAGAGGAAGGTGAAATATACAGAGAGCATAATGTAAATGCTACACCCAGAGTAAGTCTCACTGCAACAGCTTGAAGATTAGTTTTAAGTACAACAGGACTGTGAATAACATCTTGTCGCACAAGAATAGAAGATCCTCCAGTGGCCCTATCACCCAGAGGAGAAAAATAATGATAGGCATTGAACTGGCGTAAAGTAAGAGTATCTGTCTGTTTCAGATATGTTTCTTGCAGACAGAATGCTGATGGTGTTAAATCCTGGACTAATAGCTGTAGTTCGTTAAAATTTGTCCGTAGTCCTCTACAGTTCCACTGCACGATAGTAGTAAAATGACCTATCTTTTAGGTGGATTGATAGGGGACCTACCCCTCACCTTTTTGGATGGCGACAAGCTATGTGCCCTGGGATGGATGTTCTCTGACACATCCATCTCCTCGAGTGAACCATATTTATTGAATAAGTTTATTGGATTTTCTGAACCCTTGGGTGGTCTGCCACTCGTTTTCCCAGTTCCCCTTCTCGGTTTGCCAGTACTTTTTGACTTCGAACTTGTTTCAGAACGAGTCTGATCTGTAGATTGTGACACTGTGCGTTCTTCATCCTGAACTGTAGATATCATCATAGTGTTAACACTTGCGTCTGAAGTCTGAGTAGATTGCTCAGGTGTGAGAAGTGTAGGGTTATCAGTTTTAACCCAAGTCATTGTTTGACATTGAATTGACAAAGTGGATACTTTAGGCATGGTTTCGGAAGGTAATCTGACGACTGATGCATAAGTTTCGTTAGGTAGTGTTGATTCCACAATCTTTTTAGCATCAGTAAAGCTAATGTTTTGAGTGAATTTAGCTTTGTTTATTTCCATTTGCTTTTGCCACATTTTACAATCCTTGGAAAAGGATGAATGATTGCCTGAACAATTTGTGCATTTTTTAACAGTACTAGTGCAGTCTTCCGTCACATGAGACCTCTCGCTACAATGAGCACACGTCACTGGCCGTGTACAGGTGTTAACACCATGACCATACTTTTGGCATCGAAAACATCTCAATGGATTTGGGATGTAGACTGCAACTGTGATACTACAGTAACCAACTTTAACAGACTGAGGGAGACTTGGAGTTGAGAATGAAAATAGGTATGTGTTGGTCGGAATCAGTTCGTTGTTTTTGCGGGTGGTAAATCGTTTGACATATGTCACACCCTGATCCTTCATTTCCGATACAATGTCCAGTTCTGACATGTCAGCTAACAAACGGTCTATGTCTCTTATAATGCCTTTGCAGGTGTTCAAGGTTCTATGGGCAGTGACTGAAACAGGGATGCCAGCAAAAATTTTCATTGTCAATAGGTTAGATGCCTGCTGTTTTCTACTGCACTCAATCAGTAGAGAGCCTGAACGTAAGCGTTTGATGTTCTTAACGTCGCCTGCAATGCCATATATCCCCTTAGAAATAATAAAAGGGTTCAACTTGAGTGGAGTCTTGTCAACAGTGTCAAGAACTAGGAAACGTGGCCAATTTTCTGTTAGCGTGGATTCATTCTCTACATTGTCATTGTCTAGTTGTCGTTTGGTCTTTTTCGAGGGAGTTTGGTAAGCCATGTTGAATAACACATAGAATACATGTCACAAATCAGGTGAAGATAAGCAACGTTGGCCACAGAGAATCCTCAGATGAGTGACCGTGTTTGGCAGTTTGACTCCTGAGATTTCATACGACTATAATATCCTGCACCACAACGAAGCACACGTGGTTTCACCTTAGGCAAGTGCGTTTGTTCAAAAGTGCCGCAGTTCACCCAGCAGAAAATGGGTAACGGGTGGATAATATAATGTGTATGCTTCTCTCGAGGGTAATACGGTCTGATGTACGCCTCTTTGTAGCAGTGTCACCCGAGCCGGTAGGCGCACGGCATGCGTCATATTATGACGTTATTGGATAGTTAGCGCTTGTTAGCGGAGAGTTTGGCGGTTACCGTGGCAGCGGGTAATATTTTTTTCCAGTTGTCACCCTCCTGGGAGGGGTGACACGGAAACTTGTTAAAGCGTTATTTACCAATGAAATTAAAGTATTTTACATGAAGGTAAAGATAGGTCATGTTACTAGTCATGTCAGTTATCCGGGGTGATAATATCCACCATGTTGTATGCGGTACGAGCATATCCCTGAGGGGTGGGGTTCTGCACTACATCACTGGCCTCATTTTTATTCAAGATTATAAAAAGGCTGAATGGAGAAGGTCTGGTGAACGATAATAAAGCTTGTCTGAAAACCCTTATCTGTGTTTTTCAAACAGCGATACTAGGCCTTTGCTACAAGTAGCTGGAGTGTGTACTACTACATATAAGTGTGCGTGTGTGGGAGAGAGTCTGAGTGTCAGTGTCTGTGAACAGTACACTAAGCAGAGTGACATGCTGTTAGCGAGAAATAGAAATGTTTGCCAAGATATTGGCTAGAAAAGATTTTTCAAACTCGCTTTGACGTGTGACAGGTCAAACGTATTTCGGTTGCTTACAGCTAATCAGATAACAAGCAGCTGTGCAGCAAATCTTCCACTGGCTTCTGTGTCTGAGGCAACAGGTACAACTTTCCAACTTTAACGTTAAATAGAGTGAGTTCACGAAATTAAACAACTCTACTATTAGCTGAGACGGCTACTTGGGTTAGATGGATGATTTTTGGGTGATTAGATGAATGACTCAGAGAATGTGGGTTCGAAACCGGCATGGGACTCCCCCAACTGAAGTATTAGAGTCTGTACTTTACTGAGAAAGTGTAACCCCAAATATAACATTACATTTGACCACTTTCTAAATGGCATTGTGTATTCATATTCATTACAGACTTGCGCAAATAAACAGAAGATAATTTGGATAATGAAATATAAACTGATACATTTGCGGCATACTTCGTAAAAGAAATAGATATAACCATTAAAATAAACATACACACGTGCCACATCTAACAATTGCAATGAGATAACTGTCCAGCGTCATCACCGGAAGTGACGTACGTGTCAACGGTAGAGGGAGTGACCAGTCCAGGTAGGTGTGTTGTGTTTCGTCCCTCACTTTAAATGTTAACTGTTTGATATTAAGGGTCAAATATTGTCTGATTATGTCACTATGCTGCCATGGTGCTGAAACAGGCAGCTATACTTTCCTTTATGCAGCATATACCCTGGTAATAAGTGTTAAATTACCACACAAATTCCTACTTTCGCTTTAGAACTAGACCGGGCTTCATTCACAATAGCCATAGTTCAGTATTGTTATCTTGTGGGTATGTGACACTCGACGGGCTGAGATACTGTCAAATCGTTCCTATCTTTCTTTTGTTATAGCTTAAAGTACAAGTCCTTCGTTATTCATCCAAACTACAAACTGCTTTACTGCTGATACTATGTATACAGGTAAACCTCGTTGGTGCAGGAGAACATAAGATGCTTTGTGTAACGAGATATTCACCGATATTATTTGTATTAAGATGACACATACTAGAGAAAAGGTGACTTTTGCTTAGGTGATAAGTTTGCTCGTTGGGTTGTTAGGGGCGAACTGTTTGTACCTAGGGGTGATAACTCTTTAGAAATTATTCAAGCGAGGGTCTAACGTCTCGCTGCTGATCTGGTGACCAATTCAATGTCGCTGCGTCAACTTGCGACAAGTAAAGACAGAGCCCAGTTCATTTCAAAACGACCGCTTGGAGCGAAATACGTTTAACATGTTTTGCAGTGATTGTTAATTCAGAGTGAGGGAGTATTTTTGCAGGTATTTGCCGTGAGAGACATAGTTTGTTTTGCAGTATGTAAGACTATGAAATCACTAAAATATCAGTCATTAATTGAAGGCTATGCTGGTTACCTGTCTCTAAGTGTAATAGTAACACGATGTGGAAATGGTTGTGTTGTGGCTACTAGTTGTGTGCAATGAGCATTGGGTAACATATGTTATATTTGGGATTACACTTTCTTAGTAAGGGGCATGGGTTGTTGTAACTTAACGGTTGTCTCTTCTGTGATTTCTGAATATAAAATACATTATTTCGCTGATATCAGAGTGGTCATTTCATTATCGTTAGCATATTTTAGGAACATTATCAACGCCGTGATCAGACAACTCTAACTCCATCAAAGTGATCATCATCAAATCTAGGTCCTTCTATCATTACATGCACCATGTTGTCACCTTGCTATATATTTTTCAGATAAAACGATTAATCCAAAAACGGCTTTGTTATGGTGTGTTATAGTATGTTTATGCTCTTATATGTATGTCCGCGAAGTCGATGTACTGCAATAGACACAGGATGAATGTACGCTATGATTGTTTTGTACTGAATATGATGAAGACTCTCGTGGGCAATGTTGATATTACAGTGCACTGGATAGACGTATGTGGAATCGTACAGTTATGTGCAGTAAAGGACACGTTGACAAAGATCTATATGGATCACAACGTTGATCAAAAACATTTCTTTGGATCCTAATATGCGGTTTATGTCTTCCAGAATGGACTCCTTCCCCAAGTGTTCTGTCTGTCAGCAGCAGTTTACACTGAATGGCCCCGCCCCCTACCTACTGCCCTGTCTACATGTTGTGTGTGAGACATGTGTGACATCTGCAGCTGGTGGTGTGATATCATGCTCTACTTGTCAGAGGGAAGTCAACCTCACAGACACACACTTCCAGAAGGACGTAGTGAGACAGAAAGAAATATTCCACCTGACGGTCAAACATCGCCCCACAGAGCTTCTCTGTACACACGAAGATGATGGCAACCAGGCTGTGTGTTGGTGTCAGGACTGTGAAGATTTACTCTGTGAATACTGCCAGAACATGCACAGCAACTTCAAAGTTACCAGAAGCCATGTAGTCCAAAACTTCGCCGACTTGGAACCGACTTTCTGGACTGTTCAAAATTTTTGCAGCATTCATAAATACGAGCCCCTCTATCTGTTTGATAAAAGCTGCAGGAAATTAATCTGTGCGAGATGTAGAATTGAAGATCATGTCGACCACGAAGTTGAGAAGGTTGATGTGGCTGCTGAAACTCTAACACAACAACTGGAATATCATAAGAATGAGCTATCAACGTTACAGACTCGCCACCAGGCATACATGCAGAGTATCAGGCAAGGAACCGAATCCACTGACGCCACACACAATTCTTTGAAAGAAAATATTCGTCACATTTTCCAGTCTTTGAGATCACAACTTGATCAAAGAGAGAAGGACATTCTCATCGATCTGGAAAATCATACGAAGGAGACAAAGGCAACACAACATGCTCTTCTCACCGCCTGTGAAGAAGACAAGAAGACCTGTACAAGGGTGTTAGACTACATCAACAATGTCTTCCTCTTTGCCTCAAAGTCAGACATCCTCGGCCTGGAGAGATATGTTGGGGAGATGACTCGGACCTGCCTGGACACTGCCGCGCCTCAAACATATGCAGTACCCACAGCTGTCTTCAACACCAACAGTTTGTCAAAACTGAAAGCGACTGTATCAGGATTTGGTGCCATTTTGACGATGGATATGGACGGAAAATCGGAAATAATTGCTGGTAACTTAAGCATTTCATCTCTAACATTGGTTTCAGTGTTTGTGTCTATTAGTGCATATCCTGCCGCCTTTCTTCATGAATCTATATAATAGTCACGATATGAATCTATAATTGGAAATCCACTCGGTTAGATGATTTGTTCTTAAACACGCAACGTTTGTACCATGCATAGAAATACAGTTCCACTGTCTAACCATGTAAATATTTTTGTGTGTGTTGTTTCAGACAGGGGTACTCAGACTGATGATGACTTTATGGCAGACGTGGAAATGAAACACAAAATGGTGTGTGAAGGAAGCTGTAGTACATCATACTCAGGCTCACAAAGTGCCCAAGAGGCGACTGATGGGATCGGGTGGACTTGATTGACACATGTCACCAATCCCTGTTTGCATAGATCAATGATCAGACCCATCAAGTTAGGGGTTAGAATTGGTCTTCAGCAATCCATGCTTGTCGTAAGAGCCAGCTAACGGGATCGAGTTGTCACGCTAATTTATTTAGGTGACACATGTCATCGTATCACAGTTGTGTAGATCGATGCTTATGTTGTTGATGACTGGATAATCTGATTATTTACAGACAGTCGCCATACAACTGGAATACTACTGAGTGTTAAACAACATACCAACAACAAAATCCCCACCAAGATCGAGGATCAGGATGTTGATTACTGTATTGTCAAGAATCCTTATCTACAGAGCGTTGCAATATTGATTCGTTGGGCTTTAGATAACAGGAAATCAAAGTTTATCACAATGGAGACGTTATGATGCAATGCTTCTCAACAGTCATGACTAGTATTATTCATTACATGAAACGTTTCAGGTAATTTGGCAATATCGTATGCACAAGATGATAAACTTACATGACGGAAATATACCATATGTCATATCTTATGTTGCAGGACATGGAAGAACTAAAGACGAAAATCGACTCAGACGAAAAGCACATTGAAAGCCTTACAAAGCTGTCAGACAAGCTCAATTCAGAAATCGAAAGCTTGAAATCAGTATGTCGATTGATCTAATTATGGAATAGTCTCTTTTATCTGCATGTTTCATACCTTTAGATATGTCAGCATCTAAAAGTATTTTAACGCATCGTTATTAACACTATAAACTAAAGGGCAAAACAAAGCTGTCACTTAAATCAAAACTAGAAACAACGACATATTTGAGATTTATGTTAGTTACTTTACAAGCGGAAATATTTCCCTCACAATTTGACTGAATATTTATTTAATGCGGGTATTTTATTTGCCGCAATACATTTAGAAAAAGACAACAGGAAAATAATGAGTCAGGGTATACACACCTGTCGTCTATCGGCTGATTATGTCAGCAGGAATCCTATTCCATAAGTCCAGGAGTGTCAGCGTAACTTCCTGTGGGTTCACTGGAGGTGGTATGCGCAGTCTCAGCTGACGTTCGTGGTTTCAGAGATGTCCATAGGGGTTTCATTTAACGCGTTCTCTTGTCGAATGAAGGGCATCACAAAAGACCAAACACTTCATCCCTGCATCGCTGGACATTCAGATCTCCACGGGTGAATACCAGTCTTGTTGTTCTCTGGCCACAAATGCCATCCCATATTGTGACGCCCCCTCAATCAAACTTCTTATCCGCTGTTTGGCATATAGAATCTGAGTAAAAACTCTCTAACTCTGCAATCGTTCCTGAACCGACCGAACCGACTTTCATCTGTAAGGAGCGCCCTCTCTTAGTCACATCGCTTCCACTGACATACATTGGTGACGGTGCAGACGGGTCAAGGCCATTCCACGGAAAGGGCTCGTATACCAGCCATACCAAGTCGTTGAAGGACTGTTCGTCTGCTGATGGTCTGTCCTATTGCTGTCCCTGACGTTGACGTCGCTGTCACGAATTTGTTCCGAAGGTGGATCTGCCAGATATAGCGTTCTTCGGCCTGTGTAGTGCCTCTTGGTCTACCTGGCGGTATTGGATCCGGCCTGTTTGCTAGAAGCAGTTTATCAGTTTGCTGATGGTGGCCTGACTGCATTTGAAGGTTCTTACCAGTGGTGTTGTGAAGTCCCCATATTGGACATACCGATCGTCCTGTCTCGTTGCGCTTACGTTAATCTTGGCATATTCATGGCGTTCTTTCTGGGCTATTGCATGCTTGCGCTGTCCAGCATCGATATTTATGCAACAATCATGCAGGTGCATGTGACACAATTACGTCTTTCACGTTTTGAAAAATGCACGATTCAAACGAAGTTTATGGACAGCTGCATTGTCTTCTACTTCGGTTCAAAACTGTACCAACGTTAATAAAAAAAATTATGTATACAAATACTTTAAAAGCGATAACTCTCTTTTGTCTGGTAGTTTATATACTCATCCCATGACATTTGCTAAATTTGTTAACACAAAGATTTTTCATTTCCCAAATCTGATTCATGACCTGTTGTGTGTATCTGAGTAAATTGTCACCACCTTATTCGAGTCTCCGTTGTGAATTCGTTCATAACTGCATTCTTTAATGCATGGAGACATGCCTTTGTTGGAAATAATACTCATGTGACACAGGCAACGGCAAGATATTTATTGATCTCATGGTATATACATGAATGTTGTACTTTCAGCGCATTGATGAGAAAGAAGCCATTGAGAAGAAGGATGCCAAAACAATAGATTTCTTGCTTGGTAAATTCGTGTTTTCTTTCTGTTAAAGAGAGGACTGAATATCAGACTTGAATACCCTTTGTCTAAGCCACTGGTTCCCGAATATGATGTCAGTGCCTCTTTATATTGAATGATTCTTTTGGCTTAAACCTATCAAGTATCATCTCACCAATGATATAACATCAAACGTTCATATGTCTCATCACAAGTGTGTGGTGATGTGCCAACTGGTGTTGCAGGTGTTACGGGTGTGGTCGGAGAATGTGATGTTCATCTGCTGAAGACGGGAGCTGTAGACAGATCTTTCATGCTGAAGTGTGAGTACATTTATCATCTATTACAGTATTATTTACATATTTTGATGTTCAAACCTGTTCTTCCAAGTAATGTTAAAAGAATACTAAATATAAAGGCAGTTTCAAATGTTCATCCATGGGGATGGTGACGGCTCGCTGGTTTGGATGATGCACATCATTCCTTCCCATTTGCCTAGACCGACGCTCAAGGTATCACTCACTGGATTGTCTGGTCCAAACTCGACTATCAACAGAATGCTGCCATTTGTGCTAATACCGAATCGGTGTTTAAAAACAAACTAGGGGTGGAGGTGGGGGATCATAGTCATCTACTCCATAGCTGTACTCCACAATAAATATCTGTTACTGTATCCTGATTTCGCCTTACTGAGGTGAAGTGAAGTGAAATCGGGTTTAACGTCGTGCTTGAGAATATTTCGCCCATATGACGACGTGCATGCGTGTGTATGTGTATGTGCGGCTGCTTGTACTAGCCCAGACTTAAGCTGGTTTTATAGTGCTAGCCCACTGAGATACCATGCCGCAGTGAAGCATGAATACCCCACTCAGACACATTATACTGACTCCGAGACGACCAGTCCTTGTTGTACCCATTAATGCTGAGCGCCAGGCAGGGACCAACAAGTACCATAGTTTAACGTCTTTTGGTATGACGCGGTCGGGGATCGAACCCGCGACCTTCCGCTCTCCGGGCAGACGCTCTAACCACTACACCACGGAGGCGGTCGCCTCACTGAGGTAATCGACAGACACAGACCCAATCGTTTTAATGACAGGATGTGAGCGTATTAGATCCACGTTTCACAATCAATATCATAGTTGAGTTTGCTTATTTTAAGATATTGATTTCATAGAATGGACTTAATATTGACGTGATGGCGTAATATATTCATAGTTTTCGGTTGTGGGAGCCCTAACAATTGTCACTGGTCAGAGGGGTACACAATGTACGTGATTCAGACAACCAGTTGTCCGACTTCCATTTGTGTGAAAGTACTAGAATCTGTACTTTACTGATAAAGTGTAGTTCTGGCTTCCATGTTTTACTGAAGTCTACCAGGCCAGATATTTAGCATTTACAGTGACTATGATATCAAACTGCAACGTAACATATACATTTACTTAAACAAGGGACGGTAGGGTGGCCTAGTGGTTAAAGCGTTCGCTCGCCAGGCCGAAGACCAGGGTTCGATTCCCCACATGGGTTCAATGTGTGAAGCCCATTTCTGTTCTTCCCCGACGTGATACTGCTATAAAATTGCTAAAACCATACTCACTCACTGACTATGATTAAAAAGGTGTCTACCAGGTGACGCCGAGTCGAAACAGCTATGTGTATAGCTATGAAACACGACTGTGATGGGGTAGCCAGTGCTTGACTACTTGATAACACTGTCATTTTACCTTCCATCCCTGCTACGCCTTCATTACTGTCCGTCCGCCAGCCCCACCGTGCAAGATATTGCAGATCTTGGAACCTGTACAGTATTTCGTCACCAAACGACGTTAACTTGGCAGATGGATTGACCTAATAAGAAAGTGATGCCTTCTGAATTTCAAATAGTGTACCATCGTCAGCCAAGTATAACTAAGGGCAATTTCAGATACGACCTAAGATTGCATAAAAAATGACAACCAGTAGCCTCTTTGTGCGTGCGCGTGTGTGTGTGTGTGTGCTGTAAAACTGCAATGACACGCCAGTGTGATGAGGTAAAAAGCGTTTCGTTGCTGATGCCTTTAAATTTGTAGAACATATAATTATTCACGTCTTCAATGTATGTTCACGAAATATAATTGCTGTTCCGGTGGATATTCATTATGTTGTTCTATTTAATACATGCATTTTCACAAAGATATCAAATAGTCATATAAAATAATGATTTGGCTTGCATCTTTGACAAAAATATGTTATCAACAATCAAAAGTTCCCTAGCGATGTAAAATAATGATTGGAGTTGCAACATTGACAACATTATTTGTATCAACAATCAACAATTCCCTCGCGCATATCTTAATGATAAATGGAATGAAATCTATATTCATTTGGACGTGTTATACATGATTGACCCAATAAATAGAAGAAATAAAAATGTTGTCATTCTGACGATGCTTACCAGCCGCAGGTTTTGGGTTCAGTGTGCATGGACAACTTAAATCAACCATGTTGACTCAAATTACAGTGAGCTTACATTGTTTGACATGCAGTCTACACGTTCCTCGTAATACCACGTTCGTCTGCGTTTCTGACGAATGTACTGAGTCTAGGTATACAGATCCGCTCTCTGGGTGTCTATTGTACGCAGCAATTTAGAATCTGAACTGTAAATATGGCACATATGTTGATAACCAACGAAATACACGCTATATCCGGAGTAGTGACTTATCAGTGACTTCAATGTGACTCTATGCTAAGGTCAAAATGCAACACTCGGTACGTTTTATTGCTGCATTCTGATTATATTACACTGTTTGAATATAGGTTCATTTTAGTAATCTGTGAATTCCAAACATTAAAATATCATTATAGCGAGAAATTATTCGTATTCTTCTCATGCATTTCACATCCATATTTTGTAGGTATACCTCTAAAGTATGACAAAGACAGAGTCAATCTCGACTGCGTCCACATCAACACAGAAGGAGACCTGGTCAACAGTAAGCCGGGCACCAGACCTGCAGGAGAGGGGAGACTGAAGAAGTACGAGGGCACATGCAGCACTGCCCCCCTCCTCATGGATGGGTGTCCCCAGTACTGGGAGGTAGAGAACAGGGTCAGTCTGGACAAACCACTCCCAAAGACCTGGCTGATCCTGGAGGTTGGAGTATGCAGGGAGGAGCAGAGGGATGTGACCCATTGGATAGGTAGGCGTCCTCACTCCTACTGTATGATCGTCTCCCACTGTACTACACACAGTGGGATATGCAGGAAGATATGGAAGGAGGGGAAGCGTGTGCTTCATCTGCCTGACACTCTCCCCAACACAGCAGGGGCATCACACACACTACATTACGGTGTTGTCTATGATGGCGCCAGGAAGAAGATTGTCTTCATTGATGTGAAGGAGAAGAAAGTCATGTCGACGTTAGACAATGTAGACTGTAGTGAACCACTGTGGCCGATGTTCGGGGTGTATAACGCCCATCTCCTCACTGTCAGCATGAGACTTGTAGTGGGCAGCGACATCAACATGACGGAGGAGAAGAAAGCCATGATTGTCAAGTCACTGTCGTGATGGTGACAGTGATGGTGATTTGAACTCACAGACATTCGAATTGAATTCTACCAAGGAACACTTCATAACTTGATAATATCTTCTCTATGAAAAAAGACGTTTACAATGATAACGTACATGGCGTCGCCATGTATTTACATACAACTCTGTCAAAGTGTACTATTTACACAACACAAAGCCAATAGTAGCAACTACATCCAGTGTGTATAATTATGAATTATGAAATGCATGATTCTAATTGAACTTAATATGTAACACGAGTTCTGATTGGTGAATGTTAAAAATTTCCGACCGTATAATCAGCATATACGGTCGCAGTTTGAATTATAATTGAATATAATTGAATATTGGCGTCGCCAATATAACGTTAAATTTGCGGCTATATAACAACCGGTATACGTCCCCAATTTGTCAAACACAGTACAGTTATCCCCTAAATACCTATGCGTGGTGATTATAAATTAACACATTAAACAAAAACAGTAGACAATTTGTTCTTGTTGAAATTCCTTAATTTCCATCAGAGATGTTGCTACAATGGCGTGAGGCAAGCACATGTTGCAATGGTAATTGTGTTTTCGAGTCTTGCAGTGGTACGTATGAGAAAGGACTACACGCCTTATAAATATAAAGAGTGACGAAGTACAAAAGCTACCGCGTTGTTTTGGAAATACGAGTGAATGCCACATGCACGTGGATGTTTTCCCCGTCTCCACTTCTTGCAAGATAATTCGTGAACATATTTTACGGATACTTCAGCGACTATTTAAGTTTCAGATCGTTGGTACATGTTTCCGCCGACTGTGGTAATATTTCGTCCATTTAAAAATGGAAGTCCTTCACATGGTGTACCAACAGCATTTGAAGATTCGCACCCAAGAGTAAAGAGAGATGCTTTTAACCGCTAGGCTACCGCTAGGAAATATTACCACAAAGATGAAAGTAAATTTCTTGCTAATATGTATATATGGGTACACAAAACAAATATCACACAGCTCCTGTGTTATTGTTACCGTCATTTCCACAAGTTGTAAGGAAACCTTTCAAATATCATATAATTGACAGGTGATCATCTCACCACACATTAGCAAATATATCTTGTTCAAGGGATTGGTATATTTCTTAAGAGAAAGGGTTGTGCAACATTTCAAGGCAGTTATCCGTTATATTTGCTAAAAAGAGAGGCGGTCTGATAGCCTTGGGGTTCAAAGCATCTCTCGTTACGCTCGGGTTCGACTCTATAAATGCAGTTGCTGGAATATTACAACCATTGACGTAAACCTGTACCAACGATATCAAACGTAAGAATTTTCCGAGCATTTCTCATATACTGTTCTGAGTTATCCCGAAGTATTGAATAAAATCTAACGGCTGTGTGACTTTTGCATTTTGGGATATTTCTTAATATAAGAATTCATGCCTGCAGAGATTGGTTGCTTGGTTGGATGTATAACGCCGCACTCAGACATTTGCAAGCTATATGGCGGAGGTATGTAAATAATTGCGTCCCACGCAATTGTGATATGCGATGGCATGTGTCAACCAAGTCAGCGAGCCTAACCGTCCAATCCCGTTAGTCGCCTCGTACGACCAGTTCTGAAGACCAACTAACACCGGCAGTATTCGAGCTATATCGTGTCTAACTCAACAACACTAATCATACATTATAAACAATATAACCTGTCAACAACGGACAGTAAAATAACAAGAGGGTCACAAATATAGGTATAGTATGACCTCAAATTATTGAGAATTTTAGGAATATGTTCAATTGGAATTCTAGTATAAACAACCTTGACCAGCTATCAAGTGCTTGGTTTCGTTCAATAGAGACAACTCCGTTAATCCTTTTTCATTAGTTTGTGAAGAGTCATTCCCCTTTGTTTACTTGCTAGCAGACAACATTTTCAGTGATCCTCAGTATGGATGATTTAGAGAACAGGAAGTTGATTTAAGAGTATTTTAACAAGGACATCAGATCAGCTAAAGTGATTTCAAGTAGAACAGGCATCCCTTTGTCCACTGTTTATCGTGTTTTGAAACATATCGCAAATGGATATGGCATTGAGCACCAGGGAGGCGAAGGTAGGCCCCGAAAATTGACTGTCGGTGACAGAAAGCGGCTTGGTATTCTTGTTTCTAAAAACAAACGAAGGAGTTTAGAAAACTTAAGGCTGGATATCACTGATAGAGGAACTGTGGCTGTCTGTAAGGAGACAATTTGAACTGAGCTGCATGCAATGGGTTGGCAGAAGAGTCGAGGAATTCCACCACCGATCATGAAACCTGAACAAAAGGAGCTAAGGTTGAACTGGTGCTTACAGCATAGAAATGTGATTTTCCCAGATGAAAGTTATGTGTGGCTGTTTCCTAATACACTGAAATTCTGGACCAAACAAACTGAAAAACCTTTGTATCAGCGCCCAAAGTACAGTCCGAAATTTAACGTGTGGGTGGCATATCTGTGTTAGGGGCAACGCCTCTCTGTGTATTTAAAGGGAATATGAACAGTGAGCGATTCACAGATATTCTCGAGGGACATTTATTTCCATCTGCTCACGTGTTCTATGGAAGTTTTTGGATTTTCCAGCAGGACAACGACCCAAGACATCGTTCAAAGCATTCACAGGCTTGGTTTCGGACCCAAAATATGACATTATTAGATTGGCCAAGCTTTAGCCCTGAGCTAAATCCAATAGAAAATGTTTGGGGACTTAAGAAGGAAAGTGTCAATAAGACAAATCTGACAAATATTGCTGAAATGAAAGAAGAGGTGGTCTGATATTGAGACAGCATGGACCACGACTTTCTAACTTTTTTGATCAGTAGTATGCCCCGCCGCATTGAAGCCTGCATTGCTGTCCATGGTGACTTGACAAAATACTAAATATTCACCTGGCTTTGAATCTGGAGTTATGTTTTGCCAATATTCACATTTTATACGTGAGTAATGAGTGAACATTTAAAAAAAAAATTACGATCTTAAATTCTCAATAATTTCTGGTTGTACTGTATAAAACTGAGTATGTACGCAGTAAGTGTTATGCTAAATATAGCTTTTCACAACGATGCATTACTAACTGTACTATCGATCAACAGCAGCCAGAGTTAATTTCAGCATAGCTGTGATATGATGCTAGAATGTTTCTGTTGTGACGTTGTGTCTGAGCTGGTGTTCTATTTAAAGTGTTATAGTATCAGTATTGTAACTGACGTTCACGGCTGGTATTGAAATGTTAGAATTGCGACTTTTGAAAGCGAAACTGTTGACTACAAATAACACAGTGTCACCTTGGCCACGTTGACGTTTCAGGCTCAACTGGTTGTGAGTTCGAATCTAAACCCGATCATTACATGGTTGGTATCATATCCCACACCGTGGGTTTCATCGCAAGCGAAAATATTTAGCATGAACACAGCCGCTGTCACCGATGAGCTTTAATGACCCATTTATATAAATTCCAACACTAAAGCACCGTGGGTGTCCTGTGTAAATGTTTATAATCCGAGTCAGTCCCGCCTATGGGAGGGAACATGAGCTACCCCTAAAGTGAACACCAAATCCATGCTAAATGTACATGGCGAATGTTGGACATCGAAAATATAGCCAGCCAGCAAGTACATTTAATGTTATAATTATTTGCAGTTTTACTATCCGAAATACATCGTAGTTCAAAGGTCAAGGTGAACTGGAGCTCGCCTCTCCCGGAGTGGGTGACGTCACTCTGGAACAGTGTCACTGTTGAAATCTCTAGTCTACGTCTGACAAGGCTGACTAGCTTCTTGACACTCTGGAATGTTCACTGACGTTTCGTCTTCAGCTGACATTGTAACTTCAGGATTCTGACAAATTTGATCCGCATGTCTCCCGCATACTGTTTGAGGAGCTACCTGTACCTCATATGACACTGGACCAGTTTTTCTCACAACACTACCTGGTACCCACTTTTCTCCTTACCGGTAGTTACTTGATAGAACTGCTTGTTCTATCTCGAACTTCTGTATTCCATTTGTCGTGGTGTGGGGGGTGTTTCGGTACATCATTAGAAACATACACACCATTTGTCATGGTGTGAGGTGTGTTTCGGTACATCATTAGAAACATACACACCGTTTGTCATGGTGTGAGGTGTGTTTCGGTACATCATTAGAAACATACACACCGTTTGGCGTGGTGTGAGGTGTGTTTCTGTACACCATTTGTCTCGGTGTGAGGTGTGTTTCGGTACATCATTAGAAACATACACACCATTTGTCTCGGTGTGAGGTGTGCTTTGATACATCATTAGAAACGTACACACCATTTGTCGTGGTGTGAGGTGTGTTTCGGTGTATCATTAGAAACATACACACCATTTGTCGTGGTGTGAGGTGTGTTTCGGTACATCATTAGAAACGTACACACCATTTGTCGTGGTGTGAGGTGTGTTTCGGTGTATCATTAGAAACATACACACCATTTGTCGTGGTGTGAGGTGTGTTTCGGTACATCATTAGAAACGTACACACCATTTGTCTCGGAGTGAGGTGTGTTTCTGTACACCATTAGAAACGTGCACACCATTTGTCATGGAGTGAGGTGTGTTTCGGTACATCATTAGAAACATACACACCATTTGTCGTGGTGTGAGGTGTGTTTCTGTACACCATTAGAAACGTACACACAATTTGCGGAAAACCGACATCTTTGTTCTGAGTCCTAATACATTGTTTCAGTGTTTGCACAAATCGTTCAGCTGACCCGCTGCTGGCAGGATGGTATAGCGGCGATGTGATTGGCTTCTTTGATGCCGTTTATTTCCATGACTAGCCTAAACTCGTCGGCAGCAAACGTCGACGCCTTTGTAGATTCTATGATGGCAACGTCATACCACTTACTGAACGCATCGACGGCCACAAACAACATCTAGATATGGTTGAGGTCATCCTTAACCTGTTGTCGCATCCCTCATTTCTGATTCTTTTGTCCTGGTTTGACTCATAGTGACAAAAGGGTATGCTTAAACCAAACTTGAGTGAGTGAGTTAAAGGTTATAATCACTTTGGCAGTATTTCAGCCATATCATGACTTACAAGGGTCATGTTAAAATAATGTTTAATGTTATATCTTAAAATCTGTCTGCGAAGGACAGCAAAAGGACTGGAATATCACAAACTTAAAACTAGCGTGTGAAGTTGATACTACTTAGGACATAACAATATAAAAACAGGCTATAGATCACCAACTGACTGACTGAGTTAAGTTTTACGCCGCTTTTAGCAATATTCAAGCAATGTCACGACGGGGGATACCAGAAATGGGCTTCACACATTGTGCCCATGTGGGGAATTGAACCCGGGTCTTCAGCGTGACGAGCCAACGCTTTAACCACTAGGCTACCCCGTCGCCCCAGATCACCAACAACTGAAGGTATATCACATTACTAGGGACCATGGGGACTTAGAGTCCCTTTGCTACCTGCATGGACCCCAGCTGGATTTACACCATCCCTTTAGCAACTGGTTATTCTTGTGAAATTTAACCATTATTTAAAACAACAAACTTATTCTACGATTAAAATGTCGTGGGTCGAAACTGACTTTGAAAGTTTTGGGATTAACAAAACCAATATTGAGTGAATGAGTGAGTTAATATCTAACGTCACATCGGCAATATCTCAGCCATATTGTGACGAAAACAATTAATACAATACGAAAAATGAAAACATTGTGAAGAGTTAAACCTGTCGACGATGGACAGTAGAAATACTAGAGTATCACAGATATGAACATAAAACTAGCATGTAAAACTAAAACAGTGAAATTAAAGAAGACAATACAATATAAAACAGTCCCCTTGCTACCTGCATGGACCCTAGCTGGATTTACACCATCCCTTTAGCAACTAGTTTTTGTAGTAAAATTTAACCAGTATTGAAAACAACAAATATTTTACGATAAAAATTTCGGGGGTCGAAACTGACCTTGAAAGTTTTGGGACTTTCGAAGCCAAAATTGAAATGTCTGCATTTTTATCAGTATATAAACTGTTAAATACGATTGCTTCAATGTGCATACATAGTGTCAGGACAAACACGTGATGTATTCCATAAATATGTTTTAATACAAAATATTATATTTTCAATGTGTCAATATTTAAGCACTTACTTGTAGCCCAATCATTTCTTTGGTCAATCTATTTACACAACTCATTGCACTAATTCTGGAAGAAATCAATGAACATTTGTAAAATATCGTATGAAAAAGGTTAATTTGATATTTTGATAGATCTATGTTGTTAGTACATTGTATACAGTGTTAGGGGTTGGATACAGAACCCGTCTCGTCTCGTCTGAAAGACGGATAGAGTGGTGTCTCTTTTTTGAGTGTCCAAAATGGC